TGTTGAGGGTGAGGACGAGTTCAGCTAAGCGGATGAGGGTGTCAGTGGAGGGGGACTGTTCCGGCCTGCGGGACAGGAAGAAACGGAGGGCCTTTAGGCCATCTGCATGGGGAATGCGGGTGGTATAGGGACTGGACGTCCATGGTAAAGATGAGGTGTTGGGGACCGGGGAATCGTAAGTTTTGGAGGAGGTGGAGGGCGTGTGTGGTGTCACGGATGTAGGTGGGGAGTTCCTGGACCAAGGGGGAGAAAATGGAGTCGAGATCAGTGGAGATGAGTTCGGTGGGGCAGGAGCAGGAGGAGGAGACAATGGGTCTACCAGGGCAGTCAGGTTTGTGGATTTTGGGAAGGAGATAGAAACGGGCGGTGTGAGGTTGTTGGTGATAGCTTCATGTCACTATTTCTGAGACTAGTTTTCATTTAAAAGTTTTCTGTGTTAATTGAATTTTTATTAATTGAGTTTCAATCCATTATTACTGTTTGCAGTATTTGCCTGGATCTTTGCATTACTGGTCTGGTGACGTTATATGATGTGGCCATTATTTTCGTGGCTAATTGTGGGACTTTGCTGTGAGAAAGTTGGCTGTTGTCTACCCTGCAAAATAGCCTGTGGTTACACTTTGAAAGTGTCTCAGTGGCTGTAACCAGAACTTGGGAAAGGTGCTATAAAAATGAACTACTTCTTTACTTAAACAGCATAAAAATGCTGACGTTGCAACTTGGAATTATGTGCGGCTTTGTGCTGGCTCAGCAGACCTGACTTTACATTAAAGATGGAAAATCTTTGGGGGCAAAGGTTAATTTTGTTCCTTTGGACCTAAGGATTAGCACATCAAGCAATCAGGAATGTGGAATTCTGAGGCTATTTTTCATCATGGTTTATTGGTTAATAAACTGAGCAGTTGATATCCTGTATGTCAGGTAATGAGTTTTTCATCCAAAGTAACCTTTGGTTATCTGTGCTGTGTATCCTCATGTCTGGTCAGAGCACTTTGTGTAGTGATTCTCCGAAGTGCAGCATTTCACTGTGGGGATGGCCTCTTGTTTTAGTGTCAGTCTGATCTGAATTGAAATGATGGTGATAATTCTGCAAACTGCTTTGTGAGCCAAAACTCCCCCTTGGGTGGGACATACTATTGTCAGCCAGGACCAATTTGGGATTTACTTTGCTCCCCCAACAGTGAAATATTCTCTGTTTAAAAACCGAAAGGACAGTGGATGCTGGAAATCAGAATCAAAAAGAGAAATTGCTGGAAAAGGTCAGCAGGTCTGGTAGCGTCTACGGAGAGAAATCAGTATGAACTTTTTGGGTTCAGTGACCCTTCCTCGGAACAGTAGGTACCAAGGAAAATGTCAGTTTTTACGCTGACGAGCTGCGGAGCTTTTCCAGCAATTTTTGTTTTTGTTGTAGCAAAATACTCCACTCTTTGTTTATCAATTCAACTTAAGTTTGTGAATTGGAAACCCTTGCAGTATTAATGGATAAAGTGGCTATACTGTGGGGTTTATGACAGAGTAAATACATCAAGGCTGTTAGTTTAGTTTTGACTTCAGAGCAAAAGATTCAAAGTGTCTGTTCAGAAGTATCAGGAGTTGAGTTCAGAACCAAGTTTTAGTTTTTTAATAGTTTGAAAATGAAGTTTTATTTCAGGGGAAACAGTCACTAAAATAAACCAGTTTCATTTGTGAACTTCCAAGCTTTGAGAGTTTGGATAGAAACCTTCAAATGATTCAAACAGAGAAAGTTTAGGCAATTAGATTTGTGGAAAGTTCATGCCCATAGACTCAGAAAGAAATCATAAATGTTGTCTCCTTACTTTTGTTTGAATTGATTCTGTCTATTGAGAACTGTTAACGTCACGCTTCAATATCCTGTTAGGTCCAATAAAGCCAGTAGTTCTTCAATCATCTTAGCAAATCAATATGGACATTTGGAACAAATAATTAACAAAGATGAGGCTGGTTATGAACTGTAAAACTGCTTTGTTTCACGAGTAGTAGTTTGGATAGGTGATGTCCAAATGGTATTATCGCTAGACTGTTAATTCAGAGACCCAGGTATGGATCAAGGGACCTGGGTTCGAATCCCACCATGGCAGATGGTGACATTTGAATTCAACAAAAATCTGGAATTAGGAGGCTTATGATGTCATTGGAACTATTGCCAATTGTCAGCAACTACTGTCCTTAGCTGTCCTGGCCTACATGTGACTCCAGACCCACCGTAATGTGGTTGACTCTGAACAACCCTCTGAACAATAAATACTGGCCTTTCCATTAATGTCCACACCCCATGAATGAATAGAAAAAGTATTCGTATTTATTCATGGGACATGGGCATTGCTGGCTTGGCCGACATTTATTACCCATCCACACTTGCCATTGAGAAGGTGGTGGTGAGCTGCATTCTTAAGGCACTCAGTCCTTAGGACAGGGAATATAGGGACACCCACTGCTCTGCTCAGAAGGATCTCCAAGATTTTGACTCCGCAGTGGTGAAGGAAATGACCGTGCAGGACAACAGTATTAATCAGATTTCCTTAGTTGAGTCAGACCAACATGTACCAATAAAAAAAAACGGGCATGATCTACTTCCCTACATTAGGTTAGTTGTTTGACTTAAACAAAGCAATTCTAACTACTTAATATAAAACAAAGAACTATGGATACTGGTGATCTGAAATAAAAACAGAAAGTGTTGAAGAAACTCAGTCATTCTGACTACCCCCCTACTGTCTAATCTCTCAGCATTTGCTGTACCTGACTGCATAATTCTGATTGAAAAGGAAAGGTCTGTCTGACACCCTTTGTCTAAGCATCTGGGACTAGGGACATCCTAATGCAATTGATGAGTGATGCTTATTGTTTACATTCTTATGGGATTGGAATATGAATCAGACATCATCATTGTGCCTTTATTTTTAATTGATATGAATGTATTTTGCATTGAACTTAATATTTAGGAAATATTTTTTATTTCCAAAGTTTTTCGCTAGAAGAGTGGTTTAAAAAATCCTGAAATTTGAGGAGGTGTATGTGATTTTAAGTGGGTCTGTAGTACTTACACTTCCGAAAGTTTTGCATTAACTTGCTGTTCCTTCTTTTTTTATCTCTTTCATTGAGTGACTGTTTTGTATGTCTCCCAAAACCTGTCCATTTCTCAGTTTCTTATGAAAGCTTTCACACCTTTCCTGAGCCAGTGCAATGCCGGCCTTGGCTCTGTGCTCCTTTTGTCATTGTCAAAGCTCCTTTGCAAATCCATCAGGGTGGTTATAATATCTGCAATTCAGACATTATGAAGTTCCACCAAATGAACATTTGTGTTTCTGCATTAATTTTGACTTTTGGTCATCTTCACTACATTAAATGTAACTAGTGATTAGTTTACAGGTTCTTAATTACTTTTGGTGGTACAGATTGACAATGTAGACCCTATTATCTTGTCCATTCATCTGTAGCATCTGCATGGTCTCGCCAATATACCATGTTTCGGGGCGTCCTTGCCTACACAGCCAATGTAGTCTGCCTCATACGCTTCAGACAAAAATGCCCCGAGGCATGGTGTATTGGTGAGACTATGTAGATGCTATGATAATGGATGAATGGACATAGCCAGACAGGAATGTTCCCTCCCAGCAGTCAAGGACATTCAGCCTCCGATCTTTGGGTAAGCATCCACCAAGGCAGCCTTTGAGATACACAACAACGCAGAATCGCTGAGCAGGAACTGATAGCTAAGTTCCGTACCCATGAAGATGGCCTCAACTGTGATCTTGGGTTCATGTTGCGCTACATGTGACCCCACCATACTGATTTGTATCTGTAAAATCTTCCTTACTGTCCTGTTTTGATACCATCACCTCGATAACTTGTTATGATCTCTCTACCTTAATTAGTTGTACAGTTTTGGATTATTTGTTACTTTAGTTAGACCCTCGGCATGTGACTGTTATACCTATCATGTTATTCGAGTCATTTGGTTTGTCTTCAGCACCACCTTATTTTTAATTTTTTGTAATTATCTCTCTGCCTCATTTAATCGGATTAAAGGTCATCCCTTCACTGGCTATTCAGCCGTTGACACTTTACTCACACCGTCTGACACTTTTGATCACTTGTAGAGACTTATTATTCGACACTACACTCATACCAATTTTATGATCTTTGATCTCTCTGCTCTTAATCTCTCTGCCTATAAAATTCTGTGCCTGTATGCTTTTCTTCACTTCACCTGCTGAAGGGCCAGCGCTATGAAAGCTTGTGATTTCAAATAAACCTGCTGGACTATAACCTGGTGTCTTGTATTTTCTGACCTTGTCCACCCCAGTCCAACACCGACAGCTATCTTTAATTTTAGAAATCACAACAGAAACTAGTTGTCTGAAGCAAGTATAATGCAAAGTGATAGAGCAGGTGTGAGCGATGAAGGCAAGCATGCTAAACACCCTTGTAACCACCCTGTCTATAAGTCAGGAGCCAAGCTGACACTTCTCTTTTTCAAATGTGTATTTTGTGCAGCATTTTTTTGACTCATTGTTTTTGCTGCAGGTAGATTAAGATAATGGAACATCATGAGTCTTCTGTAGTTTATTTTGGGCCCAATGCAGTGGGATGGCTATCATTGTGCTGAGGTTAGCACCTACTTGAAGGAAATAGGGTCTGCTGGCATAAGCTGTTTGTCTCTGCAGAAAAGGAGGAAATAATGCTGAGAGAAGTAGTTTTAAAGGAACTTTTGTTTACATATTTAATGGTAGTTGGTGCCCTGGTGTGACTTGAAAATAAATCCTCCTTTTCTTTTGTGGGCCTTTGCATTTGTAATCAGTATTGCTGTGGGTCTGTCGGTCTGAACTGATTGCTGTATGTCCTTGCGTCTGTAGGTAAAGGTGTGCCTGTGGGTCTGTCGGTCTGAACTGATTGCTGTATGTCCTTGTGTCTGTAGGTAAAGGTATGCCTGTGGGTCTTTCGGTCTGAACTGATTGCTGTGTGTCCTGTGTCTGTAGGTAAAGGCATGCCTGCGAAAACCACGACTGAGCTGCTGAAGCAGCTGAGGAAGGTAATGAGAAATGCCAACAGCTTGAATGAACCAATCCAAGCTCTGATTGTACCGTCGGGGGACAATCATCAGGTACCTGCACCAACCAGTTCATCCACTTCTCAGTACTTATTAATGCTTTAATTTTGTTATTTAATGTACTCTTCATTGTATTTGATTAGATGTTAGAAGTCTTGTACAGTAACTCTAATGTTTTCCTAGTTTAATTTTTCTCTTGTTGAGGTTTTATCTGTGGAAGACTAAAGACCCAGGTGCAAGATTTATGTTCCATGTTTTTTGCTGAATAGAATCATTGAATTGTACAGTACAAGAGAGACCCTTCACCCATCGACTTTGTACTGCCAAAAATATGCTACTACCAACATCAGTCCCACTCTCCAGCACTATCGCCCTGAATGTTATGACACTTCAAGCGCTCATCCAAGTAGTTTTTAAAGATTGTGAGGTTTCCCTCTTCAACTCCCCTCACAGGCAGTGCATTCCAGACCCCCACCACCCTCTGGTTGAAAGAAGGTTTCCTCAAATCTCCTCTAAACCTCCTGCCTTTCACTTTAACATCATGCCCCCTTGTTATTGACTCTTTGGCTAATATCTTGAGCTTTTGTTTAGAGCAAAAGAAATAACAAAGCACAGGGAAAGCAAGATTTATACTGTAGCACTACAGTGCTGATTGGTTGGCAAGTGAGCTCTGCTTGGTAGAGATGTTACCATTGAGAATGTACCAGTTAATGATGAATAACTGTTGACTACCACGCTTTGTTTACACATTGAAGCAGGTAGATGACTCTGATTGGTCAAGGCATTGCCATAAGAAATGAACCTGGGATGGCTGTTTACCTGTTTTACTGCATTGAAGCAGATGCTGTGTGTATACATATTCATTTTGTCTGCAATAAACAGGGCCCTGTGCACCAATGTATGTAAGTTTCCAGTACACCACACTGAGAACCTGACTGACAATCCAAAATTGGTTGTCAATATGATTCTTTGCACTCTCAGATTTATTTGGCAAATGCTGTCCAATTGTGGAATTGTGTCTAATATTGGACACTGTGTCGAGTTTTGTAAGCATGGGTTGGTTGGATATGGTCAGTACTTGATTGTTGCAAACAGTTGAAGGAACATGCTGTTTTATATAATTTGCCTGGTTTTTGGATATGTGGCTTACATTCATAACATCACATTGCCACTAAAATTCATATATCATATGACTCGCTAGTGTGATAACCAATCAGACTCAACTTGCCCTGCTTACAATGTAATCAAAGCTTAGTAGTTAACTGTCAGTCAGTATTACTGATGCACTTTCCATCACAATGCTTCTCTCAGAGTCTACCTGAGTCGCACCTCGTACAATATACACATTATCTTCCTTTGGTATTTCTTATGGATTGACCTAAGTATTAAATAAAAAAAGCTTTGAAGAAATGTGTTCTTTTTCCAGCAGTACTCATGTTCTGTACATCCAACAGTTAGACAGCACTTTGAGGACTCAGCTATTGCTAAATCTCTGGGCATTCAAGCAGGTCAAAACTGAGATACCTGCAAGTTGGAAAGGATTAACTTCCTTGGAATTTGTGAGACCAAACTGCTGGGAACTTGATTGGCCTATTGTGAAGTTGGGTGGAGTACTTGTGGATTGGGAGACAGGAAGTTAGAATTTAGTGTTTGTAAAATGCTATGGGGGAAAGAATTACATGGTCCTTTTAAAAGATGATGTGCTTTTTCTATGCTTAGAGATCTAAAAAAGGATATCTGTGAGCAGCTTGAAAATTTGCAAGAACACAGAGAGCACCTGAATTGAAATATTTGTATCAAAAGGCTGTACAGTTAGCAGGCCAAGCAGCAGTTTTGTTTTGTTACCAAGACAATAAGTTTTTGAATTTAGCCTATCAATTTGAACCAGGCACTTAGATACCAAAAACCCGTTAAATATAAATCTGATGGTTTTGACAACATACGACCAATCCTAGTGTAAGAAATTGATTTATCATCAAGGGTATAAAAGAAGTGGGCAGTTAGATAAAGACAGGAGAGTTAACTGCCATCTGCCAGAGTTAACAGCTCTCAACTCTCAAGAGAGAATTGCTGGCTCTCACAGTCTTCTGTAAGTTTTAGAAAAGCACCATCTAAATCAAAGGTATCTACGGCACAACTAGTTAATATTCCTGACCGAAGAATCGATGAAGAAGGCACAGAGAATTCCGGGAGACACGTAACCTGGCTGTAATTTCGAGAGACTAAATTCTATTTTTCTAAAATTTAATTTAATTTAATTTTATATAAGTCGGACTTGTATTTATTGGAACAGCATACCATTAGAATCTTGTTTTATTCGGGAATAGTTAGTAATTAGGAGAGGTTTATTTGGTTTGTTAATAGTTTAGTTAATTTGTTCACTGTTAGAGTTAAATAAATAAATTGTTAACTTGTTGATTGTAAAGTGAGTGTCGGATTTCTTTTACTGTTAACCACTGTTGAAAGGCAGGTTACACCACTTTTCACACTCCTTTTTAATAGATTGTAGGGCGAGGTGCTCCTCTTTGAGTGTTTCGGTTTCAGTTCTCGGTGGGTGGGGATAACCTCCACTTTATGACAGGCCAAACCAAACCGCATCAGGACCAACTATTCTTTTATGAACAAGTAGATCATTCAAGCCCTTGAGCCTGTTCAGTCATTCAATATTTATCAAAACTGTTGCTCTGCTTTCATATTTTCTGGTTAACTTTCTCTTATACCGTAACTTTTCTCTCAACTGTTTCACCATTCTTCGTTGTTTTATATATTCTGTCCAATTTCTGACCTGCCAACTGTCTGAAGGCCACCTGCCTACTAAAATGAAAAATGATTAGCAAATTTCCAAAGCTCAGCTCATTAGCAAGTCAACAATATTCTTTATGAAATTGGTCTTCTGCATTTGTGATTGGTTTCATTTCTAAATGGCTCCACTGTTCGAACCTGCTGTTAATAGATGCAATTTTTTTTTGCACCTGCCCGTCCATTTACACACCTAATCAGAGCTGCCCTTTTTGACCTTACAGGCAGCATCTGACATTTTGTTAGTGGCCCTAATAGCAGAATGTCACTGCTCTGAGACAACTGCTTTGCTAATTAATCTGAAGTAGTTAATCTGCATTGTCTAATGGTGTGCCTTGGATTTGGAGTCTAATTTAAAGAGTTTTTTTTGCTTTTCAGAGTGAATACATTGCTCCATGTGACTGCAGGCGCGAGTTTCTTTCAGGATTTGATGGGTCGGCAGGTCAGTTCTAGTAAAGAAAAAGAATAGGTGTAAAGGGTATGTTCAACACCCATGGGATATGTGTTGAATTGATTGCCTGAGCAGCTGTGTTCTGTAAATGTCAGTAATTTGAATATTCAGTATACAGCGGTATCTCAATTTGGATTGGTACCCATACATTTACATGCAATTATAATAAATATTTCTATATATCTCTGCCTCTCCTCCTTTCAATGGTAAATATTGCTTGTGCTTCAGCCCGTCCACTGCTTAAAATTACATTAAGTTCCAGAGTCATGCAGCACAGAAGAGGACCTTCAGCCCATCGAGTCTACACCATCATATCTACACTGGTCCCACTTTCCAGGATTTAACCCATTGGTTTGAATGTAATGACATTTCAAGTGCTTGTTCAAAGAACTTTTTAAGTGTTTGAGGTTCCTGTCTCTACTACCATCCCAGGTAGCACATTCTAGATTCTCACCACCCTCCGGGTGAAAAATACTTCCTGTCCTTTGCCCTAAAATTATGTCCCCTTGCTACTGACCAGGGAAGCTGAGTTTTATACACCCAATTCTTGTCCCTCATGATCTTATACTCCTCAATCAGTTTCCATGCCCTCCCAACCTTCTCTGCTCTAAGGAAAATAACCCACGCTTATCTAGTAGCCTTTCTCTATAGCTAGAATGCTCCATCCCAGGCAACATCCTGGTGCATCGCCTTTGCACCCTGTCTAGTGAAATCGCATTCTTCCACAGTACTCCAGCTGTGATCTAACCAAAGTTCTGTCCAGCTCCAACACAACCTCCCTGTTCTTATAATCTGATAAAGGCAAGTGTCCCTTTTTGCAGCCTTAATTATCTGACTAACCTGTCCTGCCACCTTCAGTGACCTCTGTTCTTCTGAGCTTCCCAGTGTGCTGCCATTCATTGAGTGCTCCCTTGTCTTGTTACTTTTTCTAAAGTGCATCACTTCACACTTGTTAGACTTAAATTCCATCTGACCAACCAGTCTGCACCTTCCTGAAACCTAAGAACTGCTTCCTCACTATTAATCACTTTGTCAATCTTTGTGTCTCCCTCAAACTTACTTATCACGCCCTCTTATCTATATTGCTTACATATAATGTCTGAAGAAGTAGTGAGGCTCTGAAAGCTTGTGTTTTCAAATAAACCTGTTGGACCATAACTGGTGTTGTGTGATTTCTGACCTTGTCCAACGCAGGCACCTCCACATCATATATATATCACAAGAAGGGACCCAGCACTGATCCCTGTGGTATGCCACTGGAACCCATCTTCCAGTTGCACAGACAGCCTTCTAGCACAACCCCGTCTCCTGTCACTAAGCCAATTTTGGATCCATCTTGCCAACTATTTCTGGATTCCTTCTGCTTTCATCTTCTTTATCAGTCTCCCGTGTGGGATCTTATCAAAGGCCTTGCTGAATCTCACCTACACAGCTAGTCACCTCCTCGAAAAATTCATTCAGATTTGTTAGGTGTGATCTAACCTCTCCCATAAAGCCGTACTGACTATCCCTGATCAAACTTTGCCTCTCCAAGTGGAAGTTAATTCCCTTCTTCAGAATTCTGTCCAATAGTTTCCCTACCATTGATGTGAAACTTACTGATCTATAGTCCCCTGGTTTATCTCGACCAATCTTTTTGTAAAGTGGAACCAACTTAGTGGTTCTCCAGTCCTCTAGAATCTCCTCTGTGGCCTGGGATGAATTAAAAACTTAGGTCAGAGCCCCTGTAATTTTGTGCCTCACTTTCTATGGCAGCCTGGGATACAGCTCATCTGGACCTGGGAATTTGTCCACTTTTAATACCACCTAAACCTCCAGTACCTCCTCACTCCCTGTGCTAAGCTGTTAAGTAAAATATATCATTGCTAGTATGCCTTTGCTTTGCACATACAAATAAAAGTATAGAGCTTTAGGATTTAGATACAGACCATTAAACTTTTTATTATTTTCAAAATGCAAAAGCCCAGGTATTTGAAGCCACAAAGTTCACGACTTAAACCAAAAGCTTGCTATGAAAAAGTCAAAGGATGTCAATGGTGATAACTGCACTCTATCTTAAATCGTCAGTTATGTTAAAGATATTCAAAATACAGTGATACAGTTCCTAATATTCTTAACAAAACATCTAAACTCAAATTTCCTTTGCTCATTGACTTATACTCCAAAAGACTTCACACAGATACTTGGATGATTGACCACTTTATCAGATCACTGTTCTAAAAGGTTTCTTTGTCTTTCTGTTCAGTTCCAATGATGTTTTCATATCAACTCTCCTCCAACCATCCAACATTTGTATACTCGTGCAGGCACCATTAGTTTCTTAAGTGAGCCACCTTGTGTAAGAACTCTCCTGGGTCCACTTTAATTCTGAAATCGTGTATCTGTGAACCCTCTCTCTCTCTCTCAGTATGCCACTCCTAGAAGTTCAATTCATTGTTCACAGAGCCCTTGAAGTATTGAAGATTTCTGAACCATTTTAGCCAGAACAGAGGATTTTAGTTAGATTCTGCAGAGAGTTGTTCCCTGAAGCCAGATTGCTCTAAAGTAAACTGCTTGAAAAGGATGTTCTCTGCAATAATCCACTTGTTTGTACTTTGTTTTTCTATTGTTTATATCCCAGGCAGCTTAGTCATCAGGAAAAAGTTACTTTTTACGAGATATCATCTAGAGAAACCTATTTATTGAAGGGATCATCACAACATATAATTTGGATTTTTATTTTTTGGAAGTTTGTGGGCCATTATTAACATAAGAGGAGACCATTGAAACTATTAAACCTGTTCCACTCAGTGCCTGTACTTATTCTATCAAAACTTTCATCCTTTGCTCACACTACCACCTGCTGGACATGCGAACCAAGAAATGGCGTGTAAATATTCCCCAATTTTCTGTTCATTCATTTCAATGTGACTTGTACATGTAATATCCCAATACTTTCTCTTGGTGGAGGAGAGTTCTAACTCTAACTGTGTTTTGTGATTTAACTGAACACTGGTCATTTGGCTGCTTTAGGAACGGCAATTGTAACTGAGGAACATGCAGCAATGTGGACAGATGGTCGTTACTTCCTTCAGGCCTCTCAACAAATGGATAACAACTGGACCCTGATGAAATTGGGTGAGTGGATATCTAAGGCGGTGTCTCGTGGCTGTGAAATTAGGTTTGTGCATTCATTCTTATTTCACTCTTGTTAGACGGGAATTCCAGTGGAACACAGCGGGTCAGGCAGCATCAGAGGAATAGGACTCTCCTGCTCCTCTGACGCTGCCTGACCTGCTGTGGTCCTCCAGCTCCACACTGTATCGACTCTGACTCCAGCATCTGCAGTTCTTGCTATCTCCGGGAATTCCAGTGGAATCAGTAAATAATGAGTTTTATATGGCACCAGCTAGTTTTCCTTGAATAATTTTTCATGCATCCATTAAACTGGGATATATGCAAATGGGGACAATCACAGAATACAGGAGGCCATTTGGTCCATTATGCCTATGCTGGCTCTTTGAAATTAGTTCCACATTTTTGTGCTTTACTGCAGCTCAGGCTTACTTAACAATTATGTGAAGTATGATAATTTTACCTTTCTTCTTCTGTTCTACATTGTGCATTTATTACATAAAAATTCTCTTACATTGCTGGGCAACTTGGAAGGAGAGTTTTTGTTTTGTTGATTGCAGCATCTTATTCTGACTTTGAGAAGTTTCCAATATTTTTGTCAATGCAGGCTGACAGTAAGGTTACTGCATGTCCTCCTCCTTTCAGGAAATGGTTCAGATTTTGTTGACAAACCAGGAAAACACTCAAGCTGTTTTTCACACAGCTGTGTGCATGTGTGCCAACAGTTGATGGAAGCCTTTATTTCTGAAGCTGTTCACTCTTGTGTTGTAGGTCTGAAGAGCACACCTAGTCAGGAAGATTGGTTAATTCAGGTCCTCCCAGAAGGGTCAAATGTTGGTGCGGATCCTTTTGTTTTAGCAGCTGGTGAGTAACATTTTAAGAAGCGTCATATCTTTCTGTATATTAATGTTTGTTCCATTGTGTTAAGTTTAATTCTGTTTAAAATCAAAACGAGAAGTTTGTCAACCAATTAATATGATATTGTTAACTTATCTTTCTGTGGAGATAGTCATAATCTTTGTTTTTTGAGAAGCCTTAAATTTAAAAATTAATCTTTTGGGTCTTGTTTCAGTTTGTTGTGTGACACAGAAGTAGGATATATGTTTTCCACTCTCTTCCCATTTGGTAAGCCTTCAGACATGAATGTGTGAAGAATGTATTTGCTTTTATGCACTCATTTTGCTAGTTTAGTTAAGAGTCAGAGTCAATCTCAGAACCAAAATGTGCAAACCCTCATGGACAATGACCAAAACAAGTAACTGTGCATGCTGGAAATCAGAAACAAAAATCAGGAATTGCTGGAAAAACTCAGCAGGCCTTTCGCCATCTGTGGAGAGAAAGCAGAGTTAATGTTTTGCATCCAGTAACCCTTCTTCAGAAGTTTAATATTGCTATCGCTGCCCTGAAGGAGACTTGAAGAGCAGGTAAAGGGCAGCTGAAGAAAGAAGGTGGTAGTTACACCTTCTTCCTCAGAGGAGAACCTGAGGATCCACCCAGGATGCATGGAATTGCATTTGTTATTAAACACAAACTCGTCAATTAACTCTCAGAGCTCCCTGTTGGCATCACCAATCACCTCAGGGCTCTCCATTTACAGCAGAAGGCAGCAGTTGTGAATGCCCGCCCTGGGCACCATTCTCATCAACATCCCTCAGGAAGATAAAATTATCCTCTTTCAAGACTTCAATGCCAAGGTCGAAAAGGACAGCCAACTTTGGAAAGCAACCATGAGCAAGTATGGAGTCAGGAATTGCAACTCCAAGATTCTCCAGTTTACCAAATGTGCAGAACACCAGCTGGTCATCACCAACACACTGTTCCACCAAAAAAACAAGGTCAAGACTTCCTGGAGTGATTCATGATCGACTACATCATCATTCGATCCCAAGACTAAAGGGATGTGCTCATTACCAAAGTCCTTATTACCTCATGACCAGTCCAGATGACTGCAGGACAGGCCCACTAGCTTATCTGCTTTTCTATGACCATCAAATGCCACCATAAACAGCTGAAGATGAAGAAACAATTCAGGATAAAGCTCAACATTGAGTGGCTTCAACAACCAAGCAGACTGATGAATTTCCAACAATGTCTTCACCTAAATCTCCAAAGAGTTCATTTTAATGAACTGGAATAAATCTGGAAAGAGCTGAAGACAGCCATCATTTCATGCTATGAAGAAACCATTGGCTATAAGACCAGGAAAAACCAAGCCTTGTTCAACGAGAACGATCACATCATCTCAAACCTCACTGACAAGAAGAGGAAAGCTCTTCATGCCTGGCATAGCAGCATCACCAATGAGGCAAAGAGGAGAACTCCTCAAATAATAAAGGCAGAGTTCCAGGGAGGAACAAGGGAAATCAAGAACCAATGGTAGACTGAGAAAACTGAGCAGCCGTAACTGCTTGCTGACAAACCGAACACCCGGGGTTTCTTCAGAACCATCGAGGCGATACATGGACGCAATACCCTTGGCCTCAAACCAGTGTGGAGTAAAGGATAGAACTCTATAGAGAGACAGAGAAAACATCAGCCTTCAATGGTGAGAACACTTGGTAGAATTCCTAAACCACAATACAGTCGCTGAATAAGATATGTTTCAGGAAATCCCTTAACTCCCCATCAAAGGTGATCTTAACTCCTACCTAGTGTGGCAGACGTTGAAGCCTCCATTAGACACACAAAAAATGGAAAAGTGTAGATGGGATTCCAGTGGAGATTTTCAAACTTGGGTGAGCAGAGCATACCTGTCACTTCTATCAACAGTTCCTGAAAATCTGGAGCAAAGAAGAAATCTCTGCTGATCTCAGGGATGCTGCCATAGCCACCATCTTCAAGAAAGGAGACAAAGTGGACTGTGGGAACGGTTGAGAAAACTCCAAACTCTCCATCACTGCGAAGATCATCACCAAAATCTTCACTAAGCACTTTCTCCCAGGCTTGGAGAAAAACAGTTGGGCAGACAAAGGAAAGGGTAAAGGTCAAACTGGGAGAATCAGTCACTTCTAATGGAGCCCGTTAGTCGCTGACTGTGGGTACTGTGTGGTAGCAGTCCATGTGATGACAAGGCCTGGTGTTTGGGCTTTGGGGTAAAGATATGGAAGAAGGTGCTCAGGTCTTGAACTCCATACTGAGTCCTGAAGGTTGCAGAATCCTTAAACGGAAAGTCAGATGCTGCTGTTCTAGCTTGTGCTGAGCTTTGCTGGAGCACTTCAGCAAACCTGGAAATGGTGGCTAATACTCCTTTGGATGTGAAGGTTGGTGGGTGGTAAGTGAGGACCAGGGGGACCCTAACACTGTTGTGGGAGGGACGAGAAGTGGTGAAGATTGAAGTGTGGGCGATGTGTCAGACATGGCCAAAAGTCTTGTCAACCACAGTGCTGGGGAATCCTTGCTTGAGGAAGAAGGTGGACATTTTGGAGGCTCCCTTGTTAAAATTGGCATCATCAGAACAGACATGACAGAGATGGAAACATGGCCTTCATCTATCTGACCAAGGCTTTGACTCAGTTGATTGGGAAGTGAAACTACAGAGGGTGATGGGTGCCTGAAATTCACTGACTGAGTTGATGGTAGAGGCAGCGACCCTAAACTCTCTCTTAAAATATACCTGGATCTGCACCTTAGGTGCTGTAAGCTGCAGGGCCTTGGGCCTTGTGCAGGAAGATGGGATTAGAAAGGGTATGTGGGTGTCTTTGGGTCAGCAGGGATAAGATGGGCTGAAAGACCCCTCCCTCAGCTTTCTGCACTGTATCATTTTGATGGTTCTAGGTGCTGTAGAAGGCTGCCAGTCCAGTGAAATTCATCAACATCCTCCATCTCCTCCACACTGAGATGTCAGTGATGGTCCTCACCAGTGGTAATATGACAGAATTCTTTGAGGTCAAGCAGAATGTGTCATCACCCCCACCCTTTTCTCCATCTTCATCACCACCGTTCTTCATCATGTCATTAACAAGCTTCCCAATGGGATGGGTGTCGCTTACAAGATGGACAGAACTTTTCAACCTCAACAGGTTGAAATCCAATAAATAAACAACATTGACCTCGCTTGTGGAACTTAAGTGTGTGGGTGACAGTGTCAGCTCGACTGTCTCGGAAGAGAATCTTCAAGCCTCACAGAATGCCGTTGTGGAAGCATATCGAAAAATTTAGTCTCAACCTCAAGAAGACTCAAACCTTTACCAATCCGTCCCAGGTCAGGTTCCGGTCCATTCCTCCAACGGAGAAGTCCTCCCAAATGTGGAACATTTCCCTTCCCTAGGAAGCGATCACCCATCTAAAGCTAACGTCAATGTGGGAATTCAACATCACATCCAATCTGCGAGTGCTGCCTTCAGTCGCCGAAGGATGAGAGTCTTCGACCATGACACCCGTGCTTTATCAAGAGCCTGTGTATAAGGCAGGCATTTTTCTGACTCCTGAGCTTGGCTCTGAAACTTGGACAATGTACAGACACCAAGTCAACACCCTCGAAGTACCATCACTGCTGTTTGAGATGGATTCTCTGCTTTAGCTGGGATGACAGGCATCCTCAATGTCCTTGGAGCAGCTAATAGCACCGGCATCGAGGCCATGATCATCCGAAAGCAACTCCACTGGGCTGGCATGTTCTGCCAAAGCAAATATTCACCCAGCTCAAGGAAGGCACTCGAATAAGAGGTGGTCAAAACATTTGTTTCAAAAACTTCCTGAAAGCTTTCCTCAAGAAATACAGCATAAATGTTGATGCATGGGAGACCCTCATTGAGAAGAAACGGCTTGGTAAAATTCCTGCACGAAGGAAGATAATTCTTTAAGAACACCAGCAGTAAGAGGAAGTAGAGAAAATGAAGAGGAGAAAGGAATGCCAGTGATCTTAACGCTAAGGACCACTTCCATGTCCCAGAAACACCTTCCAAATGTATGGTTGGAGATGGGCTCTAGGATCAGACTCATCAGTCACACAAGGACCCATGGAACCCAGGACCAATGACACCGAATTTCCTAAGCGGACAGTGATTAGTGAGTGATTGCTGGCCACAAGGAGTTAAAAATAATTACAGTTTAGAAAGAGTTACTTTAATGATACACAAAGTTAGTAATAACAACTGGTCCTTAAAGTTTTAACCATTCGTCTTTTCATTGTCTATGTTTAAGATCAGATGGGAATAGGAGTGAAGAAACCACCATGTAGCTTTTAATTGTCTGTGGCCATTAGCTCGTACTCTGTCACATATATATTTTACAATGTCCTGATGAATAGTGAACATGGTATGTTTGCTGTCGTTGCTGCTCTGAAATTGACACTAATATCTGGAATCTGCATGTGCCCAGTTCGACAGTGAAATTTAAACCTTACAATCAGTAATATTGCAAAAATAGGCCTCTCCATTGGAAGCACTATTGAAGTTTTCATGGATTGCAGTCAGTTAGAAAACACTGAACTGATGAAAATTTACCATTTAATTCTACTTGCATTGCTGTAACACCTTTGAAAAAGCTAGCCCTTGTTGAATGAGGTGGAACTGGTATTTTGATGGTGTACTGCTGAAAATCTCCTTGGGCCCTGAAAAAAAATTGTAGAATGTCAAATGTAACCATCATCATAAATTTCAAACTAAGAAATACTTGAAACTTTTTGATACTGTAGGTTCTACTATAATCTCAAAGTGTATCTCAAATAATTGTTTCACAGTCCAAACTAAGGAAAGAACATCAATGATTTTGTTTCCTAGTTTGTCTGTGAGAATACTTGAATTTTATTGGCTACTTACCCTGCGGTAAAACCCTGTTGCTAGATGGTTGGAGATCTCTTTGGCTTGGCCCCACGTTTTAGCTAAAGTTGTGAAGGTGCAAGCCCAAGCCATGGTGATGGCTACATCTTTGTGTCTCACTTTCTTCAAAGTCAGAATCTTGGATCACAGAGTTGTTTGTATTTTCAGACCAATGGAAGAGCCTGTCTAAAGCGATGAAGAATGCAGGACATCACCTTGTGCCTCTCAAAGAAAACCTTGTGGATATGATTTGGAAGGACCAGCCAAGCAGACCTTGTAAACCATTGTTGGTTATGGATCTGAGTTACACTGGTGAGTATGTTCACTGTTAGATATTACACTTCTGTGATCTTGAATATCATTGTAAACTGAAGGTCGATAAAATTATAGCTTAATCTCTGCAAAGTAATTGATAGTTAAAAGTATTTGGTATACTTTGGAAGGTTATGTATAGTATTTGAGACATTGAAATGAAGCATTTTGTTTTTAAATTAGTTCCATATATAAATGTAATCTTTTCAAATGGTTTTAATGTTCATCAGACTCTTGTGTTGCATGAAATTTGCATGAAGAATTTTAATTTTATATTTTACTAATTGACTACTGCCCAACTTCACCATCTGTGTCAGGGCAGCTGGATATCTGAGCATACAGTTCCTTTAATGATTAATGACTTCAGAAATGAAAAGAAAATTTTATGATTCTTTATGCTTCCTTCAGTAATAAACATAATTCAACATAAAATTTAACATGAAATGAGTTGTTTTGAAGTGCCTTTCCCATTTATATTACATATTAATTAAGCTAATAACCTAAACACAACTTTTTTTCTCATTTGATGGGATTTTGGCATTGCTGGCTAGGTCAGCATTTATTGTCCCTCTGTAATTACCCAGAGGCGCAGTTAAGAGTAAACCCCGTTGCTGTGGCCAGACTGGGTTAGGATTGCAGATTTCCCCCTATAAAGGGCATGAGTGAAGCAGATGAGTTTTTGCAATAATCGACTATGGCTACATGGTGACCATTAGGCCAGCTTTTAATTCTAGTTTTTGATGAAATTCAAGTTTCACAATCTGCCGAGGTGGGATTTGAACCCATTAACCTGGGTTTCAGGATTACTAGTCCAGTGACATTTCTACCACATCACCTCCCTCTTGGCCTAGCTTAGCCACGTTAGTTCTTAACCTCCATATGAGGATCAGCCATAATCATATGTTCTCACTGCGTTCTCACATACCTTTACTTCTCTGTCCTTCCCTTTCCTTCAACAGTCTTACAACCTATTCTTAGAGGTGAATAGAACACTATTTTTCTACTTCTTCCTAATTGCTAATCCAGATTACTCACATACAAAGTGAACCTCACTCACAATGGCCTTGTTATGATGTATTTATAACTTTATTGGGGATCCGTTAGTTCAGTTGGCTGGATGACTGGTTTGTGATGCAGAGTGATGCCAACAGAGCAGGTTGAATTTCTGTACCGGTTGAAGGTTCCACTTTCTTGACCTCACCCTGCCTGAAGCATGGTGACCCTCAGGTTAAACCACCATGAATCATCTCTCTCTCTAATGAGAGAACAGCCCAATGGTCTGTAGTACTATGGTGACTTTACCTTTACTCCATATGTGTTGCATGTTTATAATAATACTTTAAAATTGTAAGCATTGTTGCCATCAGCAGAGAGCCAAAATACTGTTAAGAAAGCAATTTTACAAAATCAAAGTACTCTGGATGTTGAAAATCTGAAATTACATTTGGAGATATTCAGCAGGATCTGTGCTGAGGGTAGCTATTAACATTCTAAGTCAGTGACATTCATCAGATCTTTAAACATCTGGTGGAATGTTTATATTAATTTGGACTAGATTTGAGGGTTCAGAGGCGAAAGGACAGGGTCCATTATCCACCGTCTGTTTTCTATTAGATCACTTTTGTTACGATTTATGATGCAGTTTTCAAAAATGTTTGCAGCAAGTAAGATTAAAGAGTTATTTTGGATAAATTTCTTACCATTATTACAGATCTGATTAAAATGTATTGTGCCTATCATAAATCAGGTCAGGAATAAGACAACCCCTTGAGCCTGCATTGCCGTGCTGTAAGACCACAGCTGATCTTCTCCCTTGACTTCACCTTCCTGCACTATCCCCAAATAATTGATTCCTTTAAAGTGATGTGCAACATTCTGTTGACCTCAGTACTGAAAAGCAGAGCATTCACTGGGGCAGGGAATTCACAACCTTGAGTGAAGAAATGTTTCCTCATCTCTGTCTTAAATAGCCGACTCTCCATCCTCAGATTGTGCCCCCAAGTTCGAGATTCTCCAGCCTTTGGGATCAGCCTCTCAGAAACTACACTGTCAAGACCTCTTGGAGGGTTATACCATTCACCTCTCTTTCTTCTAAACTCCAGTAAATGTAGGCCCATTCTACTGAAATTTATCCCAGTATTCAATTCAGTGTACCCTTGTTTCACAGGCTCTTAGGAAAGTATATGCTCCCTTTAGGTAAGGTTACAGATGTTGTCTTAACAAAGCTTGGTTTGTTTCCTTATACTCCAACCCCCTCTGAATAAAGGCACTCGTACAATACATGCTGGAGTCTCATAATTAAAGAAGAATGTTTTTTGTTTCTTCCTAATAAAATGCATAACTTCTAACTTTCCCATAATATACTTCTTTTCCCACTTTCTTGCTCACTTACCTTAATTGTCTTTATCCCTTTCCAGCATTTCCTTTTCTCACAGCCTACCAAGTGGAGTCTTGAAACATTTTATTGTGCTTCATGTTTTCATGGGGACCCAAAACCATTACTTTGTTACTTCCAACCAACACAATATAACCTTGCAAACTTCTTCCTAAACAGGGATAGTGGGAACTGCAGATACTGGAGAATCTGAGATAACAAGGTGTAGAGCTGGATGAACACA